AGTATGTCAGTTTTATGTTGTATCTCTGTCTGACATAAAACCACTTCTTGGTCTAAGTTCCTGCAAATCTCTTAAAATACTAAACATTAACGATGTTGAAATTGATAAAACTAACATTTTAAAACATTATAGTGATGTTTTTACCGGCCTTGGTTTAGTTAAAGGAAACTATCATATCGCACTTGCTAAAGATGCAATCCCAGTCATTCATGCACCAAGGAAAGTACCAATGACTGTCCTACCTAAACTTAAAAGCACACTTGACCGTCTAGTAAAAGCCATAGTTATCTCAAAAATTTCTAAACCGACACCTTTGGTACACTCAATGGTCATTGTAGAGAAAAAAGATGGGTCCTTAAGATTATGCATCAATCCGAAAGAACTAAACAAGTCTGTTTTAAGACAATACAAAACCACTCCATCTAAAGAAGAAATCTCTAGCAAACTTTGCGGCAACAAAGTTTTCACTGTTATAGACATGGCTGATTGCTATTGGCATATAAAACTAGATGAACCTTCCTCTGAGCTATGTATATTTAACACTCCTTATGGCCGATACAAATTCAACCGCATGCTGTTTGGCATATCATGCGCATCGGATGCTGCACAGGAGATGATTGAACTTAATTTCGGTGATATCCCTAATGTTCTGGCTATCCACGATGACTTAATTATTGCAGCTAAAACAGATACAGAGCATGATAAAATTTTCCAACAAATTTTACAACGAGCTCGTGAAAGAAACATAAGATTCAACCTAAAAAAAATACAATTTCGAGTATCTGAGGTCAGGTATCTTGGCAATATAATCAGCCATGAAGGCATAAGAGTTGATCCTGAAAAAACTAAAGCAATATCTGGATACACATTGCCTGCATGTCAAGCAGATTTGCAACGGCTCTTAGGAATGGTCAACTACCTGCGACAATTCATCCCAAATATGTCAGAGATAACAGCTTCCCTCCGTCAGCTGCTTAAAAAAGACATACACTGGTCATGGAACCACGAACATACCAGTGCTATGGAAAAAATTTAACAGGTTCTTTCATATTCTCCTGTACTCTCATTTTTTGACACGTCAAAAGATGTCCAAATTCAGGTAGAAGCATCTTCACATGGATTAGGAGCCTGTGTTATGCAAGAAGGTCACCCGATCAGCTATACTTCTCGTAGTTTAACCATAGCAGAACAGAGATATACCCAGATAGAGAAAGAACTTTTAGCAATAGTTTTTGTTTGTGAACGTTTCAACAAATATACCTATGGGCGACAGGTCTCAATAGAAAGTGATCATAAACCTCTTGAATATATCTTGCACAAGCCGCTAAAAATTATGAAGAAAATACTAAAAAAATGCGACAACCCTGAATTTGGTCTTCTAGAATACCTCAACATGCCTCTCACTGGTATGGACTACTCCCCATCCCAACTTCTCATGAACAGAAGAACACGAACAACCCTACCTGTCCACCATGACTTACTTATACCAGCAGTTCCTGTAAATGCTTATAGTCAGATCACCAAGTCCAGAAATCGTCAAAAACAATACTATGATCGGAACGCATCTGAACTCCCAAATCTCCTAGCAAACGATACTGCCCGTGTGAGAAAAGATGGAAAATAGAAAAAAGTGACAGTTAAAGAAAAATTAACATTACCCAGATCATACAACGTGGTAGATAAGTACGGAAGAGTATATCGACGCAATCGTAAACATCTAATTAAAACCAATGAGCAACCACTAGTATATTAGCATGAACAACTTGGTTTGCCATACAATTTACCGGCTGTTATCACATCTCCTACATCAAATGAGGAAACAGTAAATAATGAAATAGAAGCTACCTGTATTCCTGAAACTCAATCAACTTAACCACAGCCTGACTTGCGAAGATCTTTAAGGACTAAAAACAGACCTGCCTACTTGAGATACTTCATTTAACAGTGTATATTATAAAGAATTTGTTTAACTATATGATAAATACACATCTTAAACTTTTAAAAAAAAAAAATTTAAGAAGGAAGATGTAATATCCGTGTTCGGTATAATACACACATGTCTCGTGTTATTATTATTACTTGAAATAAATATGGCGGTTTGCACGCTTTAAACATTATGTTGTATTTAATTCTTAGTATAACATTATCCTCAAAATATTACACTTTTTAAATTTTTCTATTGTTCCTTTAATATACTGTGTGATGTTTTCCATTACTCATTTCTTATTATTATAATTACATTTTGATGCATTTTTTTTTACATGCTAGTGAAATCCATGAAAGATTTCTATGGTTTGTCACATCAGGCCTTGTGATGAATAAAAACTGTGCGACGCATAAGCACAACGTGATTTTTGAAGTCATTAAATTCTATTTATTTGCTTTTCATATTTATCGACATTAACTGCACCAATTTACTTAATTACCGCAAAACTACTTTAAATCATTAATGTAGAAATGTTATTATTTAAAAATGTTTTGGAATGTTTCGTTTTTTAAAATGTAAAAACATTTGTTTATTTTCTCGACGTTTGACACGTTTTGTCTATACTAAACAAATAAAAAAACATTATAACTAAACATTTAAAAAAGATTATAAAATATGCTAATATTTGATTTTTTTTTTCTCAAATGTGTAATTTAAAGTTTTTCAAATAATTATTTTTTCTTTTTAAAAAGTCAGCGAGTAATAAACTAGAAATTTTAGTATTGTACAAATAAAAACTGTGCAATAGCTAATATTTTTACTAGCGATTTTATATAATATTTTTTTATTTATTTATTTTTATTTATTTTCATAAAGCGGTTGATAAGCACAATCACTCGTATTACTAAAAAAACTTAAACGAACATTTTGAATAGATTTTTAATGTTTACAAGGAATTTTATTTTTGGTAAAATAAAATAAAATGTTAGAAAAAAAATCTTAAAGGTATAAAAGACATATTTCAGCGAAAAAATTATTCTTATAAATTATTATTAAAATTATTCGAAAAACTATTGAAGTTCTATTTTTCAGCAGCTGTTCTTGAGCTCGCTTTGTTGAGTTTTGGTAACTTTTAACAAAAAAGCGATTGTTATTATTTTAGTAATTTTTTTCGAGTTACTTTTTACAAAAATTTTAATAACTGTACTTTTTTATTGAATCAAGTAGAATATGTTTTAATACTAATCCTTTTTTTTTTATTTGCGCTTACCAATTTTTAAAATGTTTCCTCAAAATTACTCTTAAATACTTTAAATACGTCTAACAGTTGATAAATATTTTTAAATCTATGGAATAATTTTAAAACCTAACAAGCCCCCGTAAAATAATTATTTAAGTTAAAAATCTAAAACTAAAAGAAAGTATTTTTGTTCAATTTTATCGACAACTTTGCTATTGCTGAATATTTTTGTTAAAATGTTAGCTTAAAAAGATTTAAACTTTTTTTGAATCTGAATTTTTTCTACTTGTAAATAATGAGCATACTTAATTTTTTTGTAATTCAAACTTTTATATCAACTGCGTGCGGTTTTTAAAATACTTTATTAAATGTTAAAATAATCGTAAATTACTTCATTAAAATTCCGTTCAAAAATATCTTTAAATATACTCAAACAAAAATTTTTTGCTCGATGCAAATAGCCCTAGCTACATGCAAAATCGCGCTTGCACAACGTAAAATTCACATCGCCTGACGCTTTGTCGCAAGGCCTGTCATATACAGCAAAATTCAATTTGGTCGATAAGTTGAAAGGCAATAGTTTAAAGAAAATAATAGAATTAATAACTCAATAGAATAGCAAAAAAAAAAAAAACTACTTTATTATGTTTTTGTATGCTTAAATTGTAAATAAACACAAAATGGTAAAACTTTTAATTATTTATCCGGATCTAGATTATTAGACCTAAGTTTTCATTTGTGAAAAGGTTCTTTTTCTGTAATACATAAGTTATTTACTTATATAACTTATACTTAAAAAAAAAGTTGTTAGAAAAATGTTAAAAACGACACAATGTCTCATTTAGACGTAATAAAAACCAATAAATAATGTTTTTAAAAAAATGTCCGGTCACCATTTCATATGACGTTTAAAAAACCATTAAAAAATATTTTACAGGATCATTAAAAAAGGTTTGCAAAATGTTCTTGTGCCCACTGGGATTGAATTTCACTGAAATTTCTGTTAACTTTTAAAAAAAAATTTATAGAAATTTTTTTTTACTTTTTTTTATAGGGGTAAGCAGAATTTTTCTGCTTACCCCTAAAGTCTTTGCCTAGGAGGCCTTCTACAAGACAGTAGCTGGATGCAGTAAACATCTGCCCAAGATGAGTATTTTTATCGAGACACTATCTCTAGCCTTTACTCAACCAAGAGCCCCAAGGCAGGGGATGTTTAGCTGGATGCAGTTAACATCTGTCCAAGATGAGTGTTTTTATCGAGACACCATCTCTAGCCTTTACTCAACCAAGAGCCCCAAGGCAGGGGAATTTTTAGTCGGAGTTTATTTCTCCTAGCCTTTGCATAAGAAGAGCACACTCTGCAAGGCAGCAGGGCTTGTGGCAGGTGGTACTGGGTTACGTGATACCAGTAGCAAGATTGATCTCGATTATCCTGACCTGACCTGGAGTAGTTAAAAGGAGCTACTTCCCGCAACAGTACTTTGAGAAAACCAAATATTTTTAGCCTAATATTTTTAATATTATTTGCTTAATGTTTAAATGTAAAAACAATATTTCTCCTGTATTTTTTCATAATTTGTATAACAAAAAAGAAAAAACTAAATACATTTTACGAAATGATAACAACAATCGCCAATCAGCATATCAATCTATTTCTGAAAAATACTGTATTTCATTTCAAGGAGCATTACTTTGAAATAAAAAAGTTTTAAAGAATTTGACTTTTCTCAAGAAGTTAGCTATCACTCTTTAAAACAATAACTCAAAAAAGTCATTTTTTTATTTGATGATATATCTATATTCTTTTAATTTTTTCAATTTAAATTTACTTACTGGGCATTGGGTTTTAAAAATAATCTTATATCTGAATCCATTTCACCAAAGTCCATTAGCCGAAATGCAGATGTAAGTGAACATTTTTGGTTCTGCTAAAAAATTAAACAATAGCATATATTAATAGAAAAAGAATTCGTAAAACTTTATTATAAAATTTAATAAATATAAATAAATATTTGATACTGTTGATAAATTATAGGCGATTATTCTATATTTGATAAACTATAGATGATTACAATTGCCTATAATTTATAGCAAAGTTAGAATTGTACATTTTAGGACAATGTGAAAATGCTATATAACGTTTTTCATAATAGAAACGTATGTTCTAAAGTAATAAAATTTATTTATCTTATTTAAGCCAAAAAAATAACCTTATTAACAGTTCAAGGTCTCCAGATAATTGTGACAAAGCCTGGCGAAGTTTGTTTTATTTTGCCAATAGAAGCTAAACAAAGCCGAATACCAAATATTCCTTCACTATGGTTAAGAATTCTAACGGGTATTATGGTTCATTGAACAAATAGTACTAACTATTCGTTAGTAATATACAAATATTTTGTATTTCTATTTTGTAGTAATAACCGAATATTACTTTTCAGTGACGTCAATAAGGGTGTGGGGATACAGACCACACCTGGTGACACCACCGGGGCCTGACGCAGAGGAGTGACACCAAAATGAAAAAAATGCAAATATGACAGAACTGCTCAGAACCCTTTTTTTTTGAAAGGACATTTTTTTTTTTTTGTTTATAAATTTTAAATTTTTATAAAAAGACTTTTATAAAAAATTGATGTTTGTGCCCCTCCACTTCAAACTCATGTTGTCAGCCCTGTTAGTGAAAGTCTACGGTACTGGGTGATATTGACTCCAGCAACACCACTGTTACTATTTATTAAACAAACAGTATCATTCATATTAAAGGTCCTCTAAAAGACCGAGAGTTATTTGACTAATAGAAATTTCGAGTTATATAACTAATAGGATTTTCGAGAGTTATTTGACTAATAGGAAGCAGTATATAGTATATGATAAAGAAAGAACTAATTATGAGACAGTTAAATGTGGTGTTCTTCAAGAATCAATTTTAGGACCACTTCTATTTCTCATTTATATAAACGATTTAAATAAATTTTCTAACATTTTAAATACAATTTTATTTGCAGATGATACCAGCTTGTTTTATTCCAATAAAGATATCAATACATTATTTCAAAAAGCAAATAAAGAACTAGACAAATTAACCCAATGGTTTAAATTAAACAAGCTATATTTAAATATTACTAAAACAAAATACATTTTATTCCATCGCTTACATAATAAATCAGATATTTTCTTAGAACTTTCGCACCTTTTTATTGATAATCAATTAATAAAGAGATAGCAATCAATAAAGTTTTTAGGCGTGTTTCTAGACGAAAATATAACCTGGAGGGAACATATACATGTAGTTGAAGATAAAATTTCAAAAAATTTAGGTATAATGTACAAAGATAAGCAGTTATTAGATCGACCTTGTTTAAAAAACATTTACTTTTCTTTTATTCATTGCTACTTAAGTTATGCGAACATTGCTTGGTGTAGCACTAACGCGACGAAAATAAAAAAATTGCTTAGCAAACAAAAACAGGCTATAAGGATAGTTTCAAACGTAGATCGTTTCTCACACACATAAAAACTATTTAATGAACTTAATATCCTAAATGTATATAAACTAAACCTCTATCATGTGTCTTATTTTCATGTTCAAACTTGATAAAAATATATTACCAATTTTATTTTATTCAATTTTTGAAAAAAAAAATCACATATACCCTACTAGATTTTCAAAATACAACTACATTCAATCCAAAACTTATTATTCCGCTACTAAACTCTCTATTGTAAACCGAGGACCAAAGTTGTGGAACATAATATTAAATAATGAACTAAAAATTAATTATTCTCTAAACCAATTCAAAACAAAACTAAAGCAATTACTTTTGTTAACTGAAAATGAATTAAATTTTTTCTAATAAAGCTTCTTTAATTTTGAAATCAATAACTAATAGTTAATTAATTAATTACTTTAGAATATTAATACATAATTAATCAACATATGTACATATACTTTTGTTATTTTGGATGATAGTCTTTTTTTTGAGAAATTTATTTTTTATTTTTGCGCAATTTATTATTCTTTTACTTTAATTTTTTACTGTTTATTTGCTTTTACCTTATTCGCAATGTAAAAGTATTTTAAATATAATTAAATAAGTTAAACTAAAAACTGCTCTAACAAAAAAATGTTTTTTATATAAAATCAAATCTTTTATTTTTCAAACCAATTCTTAAATTTTTTTTTTGTCATTTTAATATTTTTGTTAAATTTTGTTTTTTTATTTTACAAAACAATTCTTAAATCTTATTCTTTAAAAAACTATAAACTTTAAACGATATGCAATATATTTACGTTTCCTTTTATAATATAAATCAGAGATATATACATTGAAACTATATTTTATTGTTAAACTATATTTTGTCTAGTAATGACGCATTTTTTGGGGCTTAATGATAAGACTAAATTTGTCTTCTTCTAGCCCCGGTCATATAAATATTTTTTTTTAAGTTACGACTGTAATTTTTTTTTATTGGCAAAAATTGTAAAAAAATAAAAAATAAAAACTTTGGTCTATAAGTTTTATGATAATAAAATTCTGTTTGTTGTTTGTTCAACTTTTTGTTAAAATCCAGTTTAAAGTTCAAAAAAGTGGTTTTGGTTTTAAAAGTTGCTACACAAAAAGTTCCTTTTGCACATAACAATTAGTATAATTTTTAGACATTTTAGACATTGTTAATAATTCCATTTGGGTATTATATTTGCAAGAAAAAATTTACGTGAGAATGTACAATAAAACAACAAAAATGTTTAATAAAGTGATATTTATATATATGTTTTTTGTTTTATACTATTTTATTATTAATAAAAATTTGTTGTCTCTCTCATGATCATAACTTTGTTTAAAAATTTGGTTTCTGATCATAAAAAATATTAATATTTGTTAAACGAATAATAATACTAGTATATTACTATTCGTTAAAGAAATTTTACTATTCCTTAAACGAATAATCGTTTATCGCATTCAATTATTCAGTAATAATATTCATGAAACCCAAACTTAATAAAGAAAAGTTTTTCTAATGGCTTTAAAAACTTGGCAGTGAAACATTATCTGTTAACGCAGACAATCTATTGTGCAGGTGCATTGAACTACCTTAGCCGTGCCTAGAGGAAAATAATTTTGTTGTAAAGAGGAAAATAATTTTGTTGTAAAAATAATTTTTGAAAAGGGTTCAATAAACAAGCATTAGTTTTATCAAACTTTTGATAAAGCTAATGTTTATTTCATAACCTCTACCCAGCTAGCACACATATGTTGATAAAACATTAGAACAATATTGTGCGTTGCGTTGGCTCAACATCGACTGCTAACGTTTTTTTTACATCATTTTGATTACAAATGTGACGTTGCCAACAATAAAAAAACAACATTGGCCCAACGTTGTATTTTAAGTCAGCATTGCGTAATATTTTGCGTTGATTTAACGTTGTATTTTATGTTGGCACCACGTTATGTTTTACATTTGGGAAACGTTGTATTTTAAGTTGATTTAACGTTATGTTTTACGTTTGCACAACATTAAATTTCATTTTTTTGGATTAATTTTATTTATTTTAAATTTTAGAACATATATACATAAACATTAAATATTATATATTTAAGCTCATTACCAAACATAATTTTGCCAACTATTTTTAATCACGTCATTATTAAGGTTTTCTTTAATATAAATACGATAAAACTAACATTGGATCAACGTTGTATTTGCATTGGAGAAAACAGCCAATGTTGGCAATGTATTTACATGCATTGGCCCAACGTATGTAGCTAGCTTCCTCACATGTCTAACTCTATGCTACGTGCTCGAGAACAAGATCGTTTAACAATTTTTTTTTTTAAATAAATACTACTAGGTTATGCATATTTCGGACTTTAATCTTTGAATGAAGATTACTATGATTAAACTTTAACATTTTAAAAATATTTTTACATATTACAAATGTTAAACATTTTTTTAATAGATTTTTGTAAATATTTATTTGCAAATGTAGAGATCGACGAGCTGAATAAAAATATTTATTGATAATATAAAACAATTATTTTAATTTTGGATTCTTATATCACAGATGATTGTATTTATATGCATTCAAAAATATATAAATCTGAATTGAAATTATAGCTAGTAAACAGAAATGAACAAGTACCACAAAACTATATACCACATCAACAAGTCATCCATTGATAATATAAAATATCTTCTGGATGAATTTTAATTTATGCGGTTTAATGATGGACAATTTATGCCACTAGCATAAGCTCTTCAGTCATAGTTAAAACTGTTTTTTTACTAACCGTTTCAAAGTGATTTCCATTTACATGGTTATTAAAGGTGGATATTGTGTGCTATATTTTTAAACAGCTTGTTTTTGATTTAATATGCCTTTTCCCAATTCCGCTAAAGCCATCTGGATCTTCTCTTCTTTAGCCATATTCTTAATTTGTAAATTAGGCTATAACACATAGTCTGATTTTATTTCCATAACTTACTTTAATGATAACATATATATTGTTAAATCTATATATATATATATATATATATATATATATATATATATATATATATATATATATATATATATATATATATATATATATATATATATATATATATATATATATATATATATATATACATATCAGGCCTTGCGATGAATAAGAGCTGCGCGATGCATAAGCACGACGTGATTTTTGACGTCATTAAATTCTTTTTATTTGCTTTTCATATTTATCGACATTAACTGCACCAATTTATTTAATTACCGCAAAACTACTTTAAATCGTTTATGTAGAAATGTTATTATTTAAAAATGTTTTGGAATGTTTCGTTTTTTAAAATGTAAAAACATTTGTTTATTTTCTCGAGTTTGTCACGTTTTGTCTATACTAAACAAATAAAAAACATTATAACTTAAATTTAAAAAAGATTA